TTGTGTTGAGGTCTGGACTCGAACTCGGCAACTTCAGAGCAGCGTTCACTCTGACATGAAAGAGCCTTTTGTGTAGATTCTTGTTTAAAAAGACAAATTGAAGTGACCAAGATTCAATGTTGAAAAACAGTAAAAGGGGAAAACTGTAAAGGACCGTTATATAGTCGCACACATGGACACGTCCAGGTGATGTTCTTGCATTAAACTAAGCAGAACCGTCTTAAGAACCGCAAGAAAAACGAGTATATCCCAGAATATTGAGCGCACCTGAATATAAGCCGCACCCACTAACTTTACACAGAAAGATTTTATAAACTTTTAATTAAATGCGTACCGGTAACATGCACAAATACGTAAATGCTTTAAGTGCCTGTAACACGGCTGGTTAAAAAAAATAAGAAATACAGCAGCTTACCAGGAAAAGACCTTGATCGCTATCTTCATCTTCCTCCTGCGCACTATCGTCAGAATTGAACAGCCTCAGAATTCCTTCATCACAAACTTCCTCAGTCTCTCTTTCGTTGTCGCCCTCGATGTCACTTTCGTAACGAGGGGAATTCGTAAAACTCTTAGAAGTCCGTAAATTAGCCGCATCGTTGTTTAAGCCGCAGTGTTCACAGCGTGTGGAAAAAGTAGCGGCTCATAGTCTAGAATTTACTTTACTTTAGCTTCTCATCTTCATCACCGTCCTCTACGAACAGCTTCTTCGCTCAGCGATGCGATGTCACGGTCTTCAGAAGCTGGGCTGTGATTGGTCGAATGAGAACGTCTGAGCTCCACACGAGAACGTCGGCTGTCTGTCAAACTCTTCTTCTGTCGCCAGAAGCTTCTGTTTTCTTCTTCTCTGGATTTCTTTTCAGGACTTTGTGCTTTTTTTGTGTTTTTGAGCAACAGGTTTATGGTTCGACAGCGTTTTTCTCAATCCGTTCACTTTTCCGCAGACGAAGTGAATCATGTCTTCTGCATGAAACGTCTCATTCCAAAATACAGACATTTGCACGTTGTGGGTTTGAAATTAGATCCTGAGTCATAACTGTCACGTCAAGTTTTTCCAATAAAAAAAAGCTTAGCCTAGATTTAGCGAAAATGATATAATTCAACTTACACCGAGAATTAATTCACATGAAACGGGCTTAATAAAAACGATATTATACGTAGTTTTCTCTGTGGATATTCAGCCTTCCAACAAACCATTTGCACTTTTTTTAAAAGCAGCTATTTAGGACGAGTTTCTTCTCTCACCAGTGTAACTTGGATTAACCACCTTAAGAGTTAACCTCAGTTATCTGCATGAATCATGTACAGACGAGTAAAAAACATTCAGGAAAACTCTGAGTAGCTGAGAGCAGCAGATAGATAAAGTCAGCGGTGAATGAAAATGATGTGCTTCCAGTCACACATTGACCAAAGTGATCACCAGAGGGAGATTTTAGAGGGTCCTGATGTCCGCCACCATCATTAAAACACCAAATACGGGAACAAAAATGACAAACCAGAGGCTTGTGGTACAGCAGCACCTGACTAAGACACTTTATGTTAGTTTTTTTTTCTCTTTAATTTGTCGCCCGTCAGTATTAGCGCGACACAAATCTCGCCGCTTAAAAGTCCCATTTTGAAGCTTGACTCATCTGTTCGTGCGGCTCAGTCGGGAGGAGAGCGTGTAACCCTCCTTCTCTGATCACCGAGCGGCTTCAATCACTTTAGAACTGTAGGATGCTATTTTTACTCGGCTAGCACCTACCTCTGTGAGGACTGCATGCAGAAATAAATCAGGGCAGATGCAGAATCGCTGCATGAAAGCGGCTAATGTATCACATTTCTCCCGATCAAGCGATTTCACGCCTCTTTTGACGCCGTCTTTAGGGCTCGTGAAAGGCCTCGTTCACTATAATCTAGTGTACATTTGTCAAAACTGATTGCAGATCTACCCAAAAAAATCAGTTTATATTAGCCATGGCTTTAGCGGTTACAAATAGACGTCTTCATTTTCCAGGAAATGAGCACGCAATTAGATTTTATTTTTTTTTATATCAAGTTATTTTAGATAAATCCACGAGTTCATACACAGATTGAATAAACCTTCCACAGGTTCACAGACAGAATTGACAGACCGGGACAAAGATTAAAGATTAAATTCTTTCCTATTGAGTTATTTCGCCCCGAAGCTCATCTAACACCGTTCTAAAGAAAATCATCTCCAAAATGTGGGTCAGTCCGAGGGAAACGAATGAGATATTCATGCTGCTTTATATCCCATTTATATGCCAATTGGAGAAAAACTTAATCCACAGCACCATACAGTCCCAGGAGTGCCTACATTTTGAGCGTTACCCACTGGGAATTAAAGCGCCAACTCTCAAAGTGTTAGAGGGCTGTGGTGTTTTATGCAGGAGGCCACAAAGAAGCTGCTTTTTTTTTTACTGCATCGTCAGAAACAGACGCTGCAGGCTGAATGTCAGTGAAGTCCTTACCAACGGTTGTTTCAAGCAAAAAGCGAGCTTTAAAGGGAAAATCCACACTGAAACGCTCTTTAAACTAAAGCAGCTGCAGGTGTGGTACCTTTTTTTTATTTTTTGATGCTGTTAAGAGCACATAGAGCCACCGAGATTCTCCAAAAAAACGGTGACGCTTCATGAGATACCGCCATCGTGCAACCTAATTCCTGCTGTAATAAAGCCGTTTGGTCCCAGCTTAGCTTGCATCATGTTGTTAAAAAGCTTCGGGGCTATCAGCGTCACATTTTGAAACTTCTGGCTGTGATGATGACAGCTCTGTATTACTCACACTCTGGCACCGTGCATAAAGCATCTATCAGCTCCCTAATGCAGCCCCTCTGCATTGAACATTCAAAATGCCGCACATCCATTTTTGTGGAAAAAATAAATAATTGCCTGAATCGTGCCATTGAGTGCCTCTGAAAACACCGAGCGGCTCCGTGTGTTCAAACGTTTTTGTTTTGTTTTTTTGTTTCGTCAACCAGACCAACATATTGAATATTCAAAAGCATAATCTGACATTTCCACAGCGCGTCCTCGATCGGAAAATTAAGGTGAAAGAGAGAGAGAGAAGAAAAAAGGGAGGAGGATGAGATCAGAAGAAGTGAGAAGAAAGAGGCTTGGATCAGGTTGGGCAGAAAGGAAAGGGCTCAGATGAGGAGATAAGATGTTGAAAGGAAAATGAGAGGATTAAAGAAAGTCCAGGAAGTTTGGAGAGGGAAGAGAAGTTTTATCATCTGTGATTATTTTTTCCACATTTTTTAAAGAATACAGTATACATTGTGTTATAGCTCTGCTTTTTTTTTTTTTAAACATTTGACTAATCGTGCAAAACAAAGCGTGTTTGATCTTGAACATGTGAGACTGAAGCTCGGACGAAGCGACGCTCATCAGACATGTGATGGTAGATATCAGTCTGTGTGTCTATTTAGGCTCTGTGTTGAGAATTTTCTGTTTTTAGACTTGGACTTTTTTGTATTTTCACCCTCAACAAAAGCAGATTAACTCACCCATTTCCAGAAATACAACTCCTACCACCATAAATATGCTCAGGATACACACAAGACAGTCTCCAGCTGATCCAAATGATTAAATGGCTCCATTCACACCAGTTTTTATGTCGTTTTTATGAACCCACGTCACCGATTCGACGTGTCAAAGCAGCATAAAGCTGGAACCTTGACTCGTCGTACTTGCCGCGCATCAAATTCCACTGATGTCAGAGGCCTCACAAGTTGGCGAAATGTCAAACAAAAACTGTATTTTTAGTAGGAAATGTGGACACATCCATATTTTTACACTTACAGGAACTCTCTGGGGCCTGAGTTCACCGTTTTGACGCGTCAAAACAGCACAAAACTGCAACCTTGGCTCGCCATCCTTGCAACACATCAAATTCTGCTGATGTTAGAGGGCTTCAAAAGTTGGCGAGACGTCAATCAAAGACTGAATTTTAGTAGGAAATGGGGATACGTCCATGTAGAGACACACTTACTGGAACATTCTGGGGCTTTGGTGCAATACTTGTTTGAAAATGTTCATTTTCAAGGAGCAATAATTAGAAATGTGGCCTCTGTTGGAGCCATACAAGCACTGGAAACAATTTAGTCTTTGGCAAATGTCATGGCTGTGGGAGTTTTATTTCTGGAGATATTGAACCCTTAAAATGGCTCCCCAGCTACGACGCTTCTGTTTTTTGTTTGTTTGTTTGTAAGGGTGAAAATACAAAAAAAAAATCCCAGGTTTAAAAATAAATAAAACTCTAAAAAAACTAATAATTCCAAGGACAACATTTTTAAGACTGTCACATTGTGGCGGCCATGTTTTGGTGGCGTTTTTGCACTAAAATATGCAAAATATTTACCTCGATTGATGCGAACCGACCCTAAAGAGGTTATGTGTTGTAACAGCAAGAGGTAAATTCAAACCCTAAATTCCAGCCTTATCTTCTGTATCTTAAAGCCTAATGTCTTCTGTTTGTGTGTTCAGGGAGGGCACGCTGCGTCCCGGCGATCGTCTGCTGAGCGTGGACGGCGTCCCGCTGCACAACGCCAACCACAGCGACGCCCTCAGCGTGTTGGCTCAGTGCGGACAGGAAGCGTTGTTCCAGATCGAGTACGACGTCACCATCATGGGTGAGAGACCAGAACTCACTCTCGCAGCAAAACTTTCTTAGACTTTTCTTAAATGCCAGCGAAATTAAAATTGTTGTGTTTATTTGTGTTGATGTGTTGGCATTTTCTGCCGCCTCGGGCTACGCTCTCCTCTTTTCTTTTCTTTTTTTTATTTTCTGTGTTAAAACTGCTCAATTTAACTCAGCCAGAAAGTGCTGCAAAGAAACACTCCCCCTGGTTATCACATCTGCTGGTTTGTACTTTCAAGGGCGTTCATGCCTGGAGTTTATCTGCTACTTTATTGTATTAGTGGAACAGATATTAAAAGGTACTCTGCTGTGTTATTGTCAGTGCATCTGCAGACTGTGAGCATCAGCTAACATCAAATACAATCACTTTTTCTTCCTCCCCCCTCCCCAAACAGACACAGTGGCGAACGCCTCTGGTCCGTTATTAGTGGAAATTGCTAAATCGCCCGGAGCGACGCTGGGCATCACGCTGACATCCGCCAGCCATCGAAACAAACAGGTCATTGTCATCGACCGGGTCAAACCTGGCAGCGTGGTGGACAGGTATGTGTTTACTCTCAGCTGGATTTGCTCTGAAAAAATCTCTGTCCATCTGCCAAACCGGGGACAAAAGACTCTCTGAGTTGATCAAAGCGGTCGCTTTCAGGTGTTACCATCCGGTCATGGCGACGGTGCAGCTGGTAAAGCAGCAGTGAGCTTTTTATTTGGTTTGATTTTTGCTGTAGATGCAGCTATATGTCATACACAGTGAGTATAATGCAGTAAAACCCAACAGGACTGAATGTGTTTTAAACAGGGCTAATGCATTATTAATATAGAAATGTCTATAACTTCACAAAGTCAAGGGTACAATCATTGAGTGGGTCGAGGTTTGAGTGTGTAACGGCAGGTTTGTCTTAAATAAACTGTCCTCACAGCTCTGTTGGAGCTCAGGATTCATCCAGAGAAGCTCAAACACAAATAATTCCACCTTATAAACCTGGAATCTGTGTGTGGCAGCCGACCTGTCGGATGTGTAAAAGACCCGAGAGCTTTATTTACACTCGCACCCTGTTTCATTGAAGTTATCGCTGCCGTGCCACGTGTGCACATCACCCTCGGTTTAAAGAGGCACTTAACATTTCTGCTGCTGTGCAATGCTGCAGGTATTTATTAAAAGTGATGCACAGACAGCAGTGGGTCTGTCGAGGTTTGTACAAAATCCCAACTTACTCTCATTGACGCCTGAGAAACGTTGCTGTGAGATTCAGGCTTTGACTGAACACGTTTCTTGGCTGTATTTTGACTGAAATGAGTGACACCTGTGGGCGGTGCAGTCCTACCTGGACCCAAAACAGCCGATGAGCCCAGGAGACATCAGCGATGATGTGTCCGGGCGTCTCCACATGACGTAGCGTATGAAGGAGAACAGTGACAGGAGCTCTGCTGGTGTTCCTCAGACGACTGGGAACAATGACAAAGGCAGGCGGAAGACTTATAACCGAAAATATGGAATAAAAATTGCCAAAAAACTTTTAAGGTTGTTGCAGCTTGTTTTGCTTTGTTTTTTTTTTATGCCTTTAGCCTACTAAAATAAAGGCCTTTTACTTTTTTAAACCGCCTTGAATGCCTGGACCTGGATTTTTTTGGTTGTTTTTTTTTTGTCCTTCTTTATCACACACTGTATGGAGGAAGAAATTCAATATGATGAAGACATAAACAAAGCAAAGTACATGGAACCTGATTTTATGCATAAAGACGCTTTTGATTGTCGTGCTTGACATGTGCAGAAATATCAAGAAAAACTCTGCTCACTGTAAAATAGTAACTTCACTTTCGTTTCTGTCGGTATTAGCTTTGAGGGACGAGAAAGGGGCTTGACTCTAAATATTTGGGGGCAGGAATCGGTGGAGGCCTCCAAGATGGTCTCAAAACTTCACGGCTGTTGTGTCACTTCAGTGTATATAGGGGAGGGAGTGCCACGTCCTTTACAAATGGAAATAAACAGGAACAAACAACAGAAGGATTTATTGACAGGGCTCAGAAAAGGAGAACATATCCTCAGATTGGTGTTTTCTCAATAGTACAGTCAGTTTTTTTCGTAGAAGAATCTCGACATCATTGATTTTTTCCTCCCACCTCCAAAGCCAGTCCTACACTGTAGGATTACGAATGTGCAGGGGTTGCATTTATGTACAGTATCTCCTCTCTATACGAGAACACGCAGACAAACACACGTCGGCTGTGTCCGACACTAACGCAGACAGCAGGAGACAGGATTTAGCCCTGAGCCTCAGTCTGGCTCTAAAATATACATGAAGCACTTGAACTCTGCGTCAGCGCCGAAACGAGAACTAAAATAACCTCAGTCAACAGCGCAGGTTGACAGCGGAGGGCTATGTTTATGCTGCTATTCATTCCCACGCAGCTGCAAATTGAGAATAGCAAAAGAAGGAAAAAGTCGCTTGTTTATCCTGTTTCCTATAATAGCATCTCCTTTCTTTATCCTCCATTTCTGCCCGATGCACCAGATGTGGAGCGCTGCATGCTGGGGATCACCTGCTGTCCATAGATGGGACGTCGACAGAACACTGCACGGTCCTGGAGGCGACGCAGCTACTAGCGAGCACGACGGAACTGGTCAAGTTAGAAATACTCCCCTCGCATCAAACGAGGCTAACTGGGAAGCAGCACGACACAGGTGGGTGTTTTAGAATCACGTCTCAGCTTGTAAACCTTCTTTATCTATATTTTGTGCTGTTGGGCAGTTGGACGCCACATTCTCTTACATGCAGGTTACACAACTCGTATCACACCAAAGCCTCCACTTTGTCCTGCTGCTCCATCATTACTTATGCTACAGCTTCATTAAGTCGACTGTAATCAAAACATTGTCACGGCAACATCGAGCCCAGCGTTTGGGAAGCTGGGAAAAAAGCCACTGCTAATTACTGGTGGAAAGCAAGAGCATCCATTACTCCATCTATCATCATCATCTTGTGATACCACTTCATTATTTCATGATGCCGCCATCATTTGTTGATTGCATTTGTGGCTCTTTTAATGCCTCTGGACCGTCGACAGCTGCGGCATTATTCCTGTTCCAGCAGACGTGGTGTTTAGGGAATGCCTTGGACGAGTCGCGTCAAATTTTGCACAAGAATTTGGTGGGCAAATGTCACCGTGACCTCACAAAAGATGTTTTTGGTCATTACTCAAGAATTGAAAAGAAAATTTGCACAAATGTCTAAACAGATAAAACAATGCAGTGATGACATTTTATACTAAAAGGTCAAAGATCAGCTTTACTGTGACAACATTCGACTTTTCTGGCCATTATTCAACACAATGACTCAGGAACAGAAGCAGAGACCGTGACCACATTTCACCTTTGACTAGATAATGAATCAGACAGATATATAGATACTTTATCAATCATTTGCATTTCTTGGTTATGACAGGTACAATCACAGTCAAAAAAACCCACATCTAACACAGAACATTAAATATTTCCAGCACAACAACTAACCACAGAAGCACTGAAATACACTGAAGACTTACAGTGATGTAATAAACACGTTTGTAAAATGTGTTGTGCAAAATCTGCAGCACAGAAAATGCAGCGTGCTACAATGCAGAAACTCAGGAGTGTAAAATATGTCTCTAAAATCGCAACATGAGATCAGAAAAACTCACCTTATATGTGAACAGTGTGATGGTCGTTAATAGAAGGAGAACAGAAGAATAGACGCTCTGCTGAATCACCTCCAGGCCAGGAAGTGGGCGTGTAGGATTTCTCATAACTCACTTCGGTTTTGAGGGCATGGTGGCCTCAGTCGTTGGCTGAATAGTGCCCGTTTCAGTGCCGATGATGAAGGTCGCTTTCCTGATCAGCTGGAGACGCAGCGCTTGTGTGCCCACTTTGAAATTGTGGTGATTGTGCGGATCTTTTGTGCCGCTTGGATGACGATGTGTGTGACGCATCCATGTTTTTTTTGCAGATACACCCACATTTAGAGGATTGTCTGCTCTCATGGCTACAACTTTGTGTCCAACAGAATTTACTTTTTAGGCCAAACATGTGAAGAATTTGACTCTGTTTTGTTTGTTTATCTCAAAGAAAGCTTACAAGTAGGGATGTCCTGAGACGATATCAATGATCGGGATTGGCGCTGATCAGGTTTGTTCCAACATGAGCCAGATCCTTCGTTCACGGTCGCTGTCACACAGTTTGCTTAAAGGGAGAGAAGAGTTTGTGGCAGATGCATGTTGCAATCACTTTTTAATAACTGCAGTGTTACGCCCAGCCTCGGGGTGCTTGAACGCAGCATGAATGCGCCATCCGTCTGCAGCCACACCGCAGCAGTTTCACAGGAAAAGTAATTATTTATTTATAATAGCTGTGATGTTGGAACAACGGTGATGGTTTAACCAAAAATAACTACAAGGTGATGTAAAGTAAGAGTGAGCTCTACCCAAAACAGCAACCAAAACTATGGGCGTTCCAACTTACCTATCAAAATAAAAGTCTGGCCTCCCTCTCTAATTTAAACAGGAGAAAACGAGTTTAAACAAAAAGGTAGCAGCTCGCTCTATTCATACAGATTTACTAAACACTAAACGCTGAGCTTTGTGCCAGTTGGGACGCCGGTGAAGGATGACCCCGCCCATCCGACCCTCTCTGCACACCGGTGAAGTCCTCCTCCTGTATTTAATACTGGCACTTCCATTGGTCTGCCAATCCGGTCCTCGCTATGGCACGGCCCTATTTACATATTCAATAGGAACACACACAGATCAAAGGAATAAATAGCATTCTGTGAACAAATACGACCGCAGTCATAACAGCAGCCATATCAATCTAGTCTTTTTTAAACCCAGCTGATCTGCAACATACAAACTCTGACCAGAAGCCTTCAAGCCTCACAAAAGACTTTGTCATGGTGCCGCCTTACCGGATAAACCCCCACAATGCTCTCTGCCTCCCAACATGGAGCTGCCAGTAGTCAGTATTAAACAGGAAAAGGCTCCACCTGGTGGCACAATCAAGTACTACAGCTAACCAACAACCGTCCATTAAATAGGAAAATAGGATTGAATGGAAATATCATATGAGAAAATGCAATTTACGAGGTTGAATTAAGAAATTGGATAAGGCAGTGTTAAAGACAATAAAACGATAAAAGAACAAAAAAGCCCTTTATTAGATAGGACAGTCGAAGGAGAGACAGGAAAGTGGGGGAGAAGAATAGGGAAATGGGTTGCAGCAAAGATCCATAAACGAGATTCGAACCCATGGCATCGGAGACTATAGCCCCAGTACATGGGTCACCAGCTCAACCAGGTGAGCTGAAACGGCGGCCCAAGAATTAAAAAAAAAAACAGGTTTTGACTGTGAATTAATTAAACCAACTCAAATTAATAAACTAACAAAGCCTCATCATGGCATGAATTTAAAAAAAAAAAAAAAAAAAAAACTGACTGCCAACCAGATGGTTTGTGTCATGTGGTCAAACTCCAGCTTGTGTTGTTGTTTTTTTTCTTTCACACCTTGTGCCGCAGCAGCTGTTACCACCGTTTGATTATGTTGTGTCAGACATGCGATAACTCTGTGATGAATACGTTTCTCTCTCGTCTGCCATTAATGCGACTCAGAAGAGGCGTTCGCGGACGCCTGTTGCGTGTGGATGCGCTCCAACTTATTGATGTGTGAAGTGAAATAGAGAATCGTCTGGTTTTTTTTTACTAAAACACTGGAACATGTTGTCTTTAGCTCTCGCCTGCTGAGCGAGTGGAACACAGGTGAATAATTATCGTAGGTAAGCATTGCCGCTGCTTGTTGTATTGCAGCAAGTAAGAATATTTTTATAATGTTTGTCATCCTCAGCCTAACTAGTGGAGAAGAAATGACCAAGACAGACAAACCACTAATAAAGATTTTGGTTGGATTTAGTCCCACTGAAGTGACTTCACACACATTTAGCAGATCAAAGTGGAAAAATATCCCATTCAGTGTCTTTTCAACCCTCCGTCCTCTCTCACACTACACTGATTGAGGAATATTTTGGCTGCGACGGCAACTTTGTGCCTAATTAGTTGAAGGAGTGTTTCTTCACCCATAGCCAAGCAACGGCTTTCATCTGTGACAGAATTAGTGCCAGTGGATTTACAGGGGAAACGCTGATTCCAGCGACTGCTTTATTATCCTGGGTTAATGCTCACAGCTGAGGGGGGCTTAAGTGTGACAAATGTACGCACACATCGCGCTCGCACAATGAGACACGCACACAATTAGAAACACACAGCGGCAGGCATGATCACACACATGTAGGACCTGTGATTAAGCATGAGTTTATTTATTTCACGCCTATGTGCACACACACACACCTTTTTACCTTTTTTATCCTGTTTGCTGGAAAAATCTGCACAGCATTTTTTTTTTTTTTACCGTTGACCTGATTAGAGACTCATGAGAAAGGCAGGATTAAAGGAGCGGCGGAAAGACTGAGAATAAAAAGTAGATATTCTCGACTTGTGCCAGACTGAAACCACTACTTTCTATAGAATTCGTGTGGGGTGGGAGTTGGTTTTCGGCGTGAAAGGCCAGGAAGAGAGACACTTAAAAAGAAAAGTGATGGATGAATGAGAAGTAGACTGACGGGGAGTGTAAAGGCAGGATGGTATTTAATTAAAGTCATTACACCTCTCTTACAGCTGTCAGAAACTGCTTACAGCCTGAAACCTCCTCCTCCTCTCTCCCGTCCTTTTCCTCTCATCTCTTCTCCCCTCTTAATCTCCCTTCCTCCCGTCTCCTATACATACATCTCATCTGGCAAATGCTCTTTCTTTCTTAACTTGTCTCCATATTGTTATTCTGAACTGGCAAAAAAAAACCTTAAATTTGGCATGTGAACGCTGAACTCACGCCGGCTCAAAAGGTCGCCATCTCATCTCGCATCTCCTTCATTTGTCTCTAAGAAGCAAAATTCATTCTTCTTCTAATCACAGTTGTGTGGCTTCCCTCGTGTGTGTGTTGGGAAATGAACACAGCTCATTAGGACACTGATGGCCTTGCAGCAGACCTTGCAGCCAGCTTTATTAATAGACGCTCTGATTAAAGGTTTTGCACTTGTGTGTGTGTGTGTGACTTTGGAGCTAGATAGATTAGGGTTTGGCGAATCTGCAGCATCAACGTGCATGCACATAAGGTCGTCTTTATTTGTGTGTGGTAGTGCATCCTCTTCCATGTTTGCATCATGTGTACGTGAGGATAATTGCGTACACAAAGTGACTGGGCTGTGTGCGTCCCATCTGTGTGCATCTGCAGCCGCCGTGTGACTGCAGCCATTTCCAGTCAGCAGATCTGTCTCTCCGCTGTGTTTCATTGGACATAATGACTTTATTTTTACTCACGGAGGATTAGACGAAGGGCGGGGCGGGGGGGGATGTTTCCACGTTTTCTCAGATCCCACCCTGAGGTCGTCCAGACTTCCCGCCATCGGAGTGGCGCAGATAAGACGACCCGCGTGTCGAGGAAACAAAAGCTCTGCTGGATGGATGTGGCAGCGCGGGGCAGCTTAGGATCAACTTCAGAGTTTAGATAAGTGTGTGCAGTGAGGAATTACACATGAAGCTGTGTAGGTTGTCAGACTTCAGCCTTGATTGTATGCTGATGCTCGCAGTGGGAGTTTCCCCGCAAGAGGTTCTCCCTGACATCTGAGGAAATGCGACTTTTTTCAACAGATGGCACCAGACTTTCTGCGTTTTAATCAGGCGTGCGTTTTATCGTCACTTTGTTGTCGATCTAATGAACTGACAAAGGAATGAGTTGAGCTTGAACGCCATATGACGAGCCGATGAATCAGAGACGCCCATACAGTTGGTGTTTTGGGGGGAAAAAAAACACAAAAACTTAAATTTGATTGTCTGGCAGGTGCTTGTATGTGTGATATTTATATAAGAGAACAATTCAGTCGTAGTTTAGTGACTGTTTTAGAGCTAAACGGCGGATTCTAACGCCACACCACAACCTGTGCTCTGTGTCAAAGTTAACTTGATGTTCAAATGGATCTAAACATGGCTTAGACTCACTAGAACAACTGTAAATGGATAGCAATTTAAACGCAGTTTGTCCTCTTATCTCTGGTGTAAATGTCGTAGTTCCAAAGTGTCCTGATAATGAATATCAGGCAGAGCGGCACTTTCATACGAACCAGACAAAGCGTTACACAGATTCATATCCATTAATCCATAAACAAATGTATGAGTCAAGATTTCGAGCGCTCGTTCATAATAATTAGGTGCAGCAAATTGGGTAAAACAGGAGGATATTGCACACAAGCATTAGCACTTCAAACCCATCAGAACTGATTAATTAAAGTTTCCCATTAACTGCTAAAATGGTCTCCAAAGTGATCACTGGTGACATCATGTAAGTACACCTGTGAGGCATTGTACACCATACATATCAGTCTTTTGATTCTTCTCATAATAAAGGTTTATCTGTGGAGGACAGAAGAGGTCCTCGGAGGTCAAACCAAAATATCTCAGAAATGGGCGCTACCATTTTCTGGTGGGGATATTATTGTAAATTGAGACTGGCAAGTGGAGATGTGGTATGGAGGGCTGGGTATCATGTTGGACCTTGATACAGGCAAGCTAATATTTACCAGTATGGGGGGGAAGTAGCTGATATGCAGCTAGACAAGTAGCAGTTACTAATCATTGTTATCTAGAAACAAATTAGTGTATACCAAGCTTCCATGGTAGTGCAAGAGTAGTCAGGACTGCAGAGGTTGGGCTACATGATGCTCAAGGCCTATATTTGGATTTGAGGCCAGACTTTGATACCATATCTTGAACCCCTACGGTCACTACTATTCAGACTCTGATTGTAAATAACTACACAAACTCAAGACGGATGCACCCATTTCCACCATATTTTGGTTTTAGTTTTGTATAGCAGCAGGAAGTGGTGATGTGTTGTGCATCTTCATATGCAGTCTGAGGTCTGTACCCTACATGCCACTGCTAGTGCATGCTGATTGTTGGGGTTGGGGGTGAGTTACTGCCCAAAGCAAAGCAGTTTAAGTATCTTGGGATCTGTTTCACAAGTGATAATGGAGCGAGCATGAGATGGTTAGATGTGGTGGTGCAGCATCAGCAGTAGTGCACTCATTTGTACCAGATCATCATGGTGAAGAGGAAGCTGAGCCGGAAGGTAAAGCTCTTGGTTTACCAGTTGCAACCCTCACATATGGTCATGAGCTCTGGGTAGTGACTGAAAGAATGAGATTCTGGATACAGGCGGCTGAAATCCGTAGGGTGGTGGGCTCAGCTGTAGCGATAAGGTGATGATCTCAGAGGGAGCTCGAAACACAGTCGCTGTTCCTTTGCATCAAAAGAGCCAGCTGAAGTGGTGGGGGCATCTGATTAGGATGCCTCCTGGGTGCTTTCCTTTGGACATTTTCTAGGTATGTCCAACTGGGAAGAGACCTTTAGGTAGACCCAGAACTCGCTGGAGGGATTACATATCTTATCTGGCCTCGGATTGCCTTGGGAGCGAAAAAATGGGGCTCAAGAGTCTGGATTGCCTTGATTAGCCTCCTGCCACTTTGACCCAACACCGGATAAGCAGAAAAATGGGAATCAATCATTACATTATGGAGATTAACAACGTTTATACTGGTTTAACAAATAGTATCAGTGGTGTCCATCCATAAGGATCCAGTGTCATACCCATAATATACCCATGTAAGGATAATAAAGCAACACCTTGAAATCTTTACAGGACAAATGCATTAACTGTATTTCCATGACGTGAAAAAGCTGCTAGAGACAGCAATACATTCTCATACTCACAATGTGGGGTTACAAGTAGTTCACATGAGTTTAAGACCTACTTGGATTGTGGTTTGTAGGGGTTAGGGTCAAGGTCAGTTTAGGCCAGGGGTGGGCAATGCTGGATTGTGGCCCTCGAAGACCAGGATTGCCCACCCCTGGTTTAGGCGATGCAGTGGCTAGAGTTTCGTTTATACCGCTGCCACAAGTAACCAGATGACATGTGTGTGTGTTCCAGTGAAGGTTCAGAAGTCGGACCATCCCCACTCCTGGGACCCCTGTGTGAACTACTGTCACCCCCAGAACTCCACCCTCTGCAACGCAAGCTCCACCCTCAACAAGTCGTGGACCGCCTCCAACAACAACACGATCAACAGCCTCGACTACTGCAAGTGTAAGAACGCTAACACAGACGTAATAAGAACACAACTCGGTCTGTCGGGTTGCCACCGAAGAGGTTTAAAGCCTCATCTACTGTTTCAGCCTCCTGCTGTGACAAAAATATTAAATATGTTATTGTTCTGTTGGGCTGTTTGTGTCTGTTGAATTTGCCCTGCGCTCTTTAGGCCTTGATTACTCTTTTTAATTTAATTCCTCTTTCCCCACCTGTAGCAACATGATTTATCTGTTACCCTTTTTTTCCTTTTCTGCTTCCTCAAGGTTTTAATTAATTCGTAAATACCTGCTTTCCTGCCCAGGTATTGCAGTATTGAAAGAATGAACATAATCTTTCTCTTCTTTGCAGCTCTGGTGTCTGCCAGTTTCTCTCCGGGCTCTACGACCACGTCGGGCCCCAGCAGCCAGAGCTCCAGCACCCTGCCCAGGCCTACAGTCCCCATGAGTCCTCGCAACTCGCTGCTCAAACGGCGGCAAAGGAAGAAAGAGCACAAGAGCTCATGTAGGTTCCATCTGTCTGTGTGTCTGAATAATTTCTCTGAATGGATGAACATCCATTTAATGTGTCCACATGTGTGTGTTTAGTGTCCCTGGCGTCCAGTTCGGTGGGTCCGGGCGGTCAGGTGGTTCACGTGGAGACCAGTGAGGTTGTCCTAACAGGTGACCCACTCAACGGCTTTGGTGTCCAGCTGCAGGGAGGAATATTTGCCACCGAAACACTGTCTGCGCCGCCGCTTATCCGATTCATAGAGCCTGACAGCTCGGCAGAGAGGTGAGCCCACTCCTGGTCATTCAGTCAAACAGACAGAGACAGATCACACCCTGAATTAAATCGTAACCGGCTGCACAACGATAGCCTTTTGTTGAAAATGCACTTTTACCTTGGTACAGTTCTTTTAATCTTATAGTTAACTATGCTTCAAAACTTACCCGACACATGCAAATGCTGCAGTTGTATTATATTGAATAATATACATACTTATACTATACATACTTATAATACTACTTATACATATACTCATCTTAATTATAAAAAATATCTAAATTATAAGTATAAACATGTAAAAAATATTTTAGAAAATATAAAAAGTAAATAGAAAAGTATAAAAAATAGACAATAGCATACTCAAGAATATAAAAAACTGTTTAAAAAGTTATTTTTTTGAGCATTTTATTGTGAAAAATTGAAAATAATCAAAGTTTTTTTTGAGTTGTTCCTGTTTTTATATATATATGTAATTTTTTGGATAGTGTCATATTAAAATGATCATACACATTCAGAGAATTTTGTGTTTTGCATGAAGATGTGTTGGTTTTAAAAAGAAGTCCAACTGTGAGAAACTCTAGACTTTTAAAATGGAAGGACTGAAGACTAAAACAATTTCAGAAACAAACATCACTAATGCAGCAGATTAATACTGTTTTTATGGCATTTCAATTTGCACATTCCTGCTCACTTGAAGTATTTCCATTACTTTTGGTGACTCATAATCCCTTTATTAAATTCGCTGCTAATTGGATTTGTAGAACTGCTTCTTATTTGTTTTACTTACTGCCTACTGACTGGCAACACTTTTTAAAATCTATATGTTGCTGTTTTGCACTGAAACAGACAAACAATAAAACCTTTCTGATGATGAAGTTGGTCAGCTGAAGCCGAAACACTGAGTCTACACATGAAGTGAACGTCTCCCCGAGTACAGCGTCGTACCGTGTGGGTGTGTTGTTTGAAAGGGCTGTACATTGCACAGTACGTCTGTGTTTGTGTGATTTATGTTGCCGTTGTACTACAGCTCCACTAATGGCTCTCTCTGTGTTTGTGTGCGAGGACATGTGCTGACTTTAACGCCACATTAGCAGCTTTACCGAGCTTCCACTGTTGAATGTCAGTGTTTGTGTGGGTGGGTGTGTGTGACACTGATGTTGCAGTGTATTAACAGCTCCACTTGGCTCCGTGTTGTGTGTGGGTGTATGAAACATTTTGAAGAATTTCTGTGCGCGAGCGTAGGAAGGGTTTTCCAAAAAAACCCTGACGTGCAAGCGTTCACAATCCTCTGCACGGATCGCGTCTTTTGTTGCTCTGTAAATCGTGCACGTGGCTTGATTTAAGTTTCTCTGTATGAATTCTCAATTGTGCCTGCTTTGTGTGTGTGTGTGTGTGTGTGTGCATGTGTCTGCTGATTGATGTTTCCATCATATTAACAGCTTCTCTAAGTGCTGGGTGTGTTTCTGCACCCCGAGGCCGCACTCCCTTCTCCATTAGCGCCCACGCTAACAACACTAATTAGCTAGCTTCCCCTCGCCCACGCCGGAGGAATCAATAAGTACCTTTCTTTCCGCTTGACAGTGTGAATCCAAATAAACCCCTCCACATCACCCCGGATTACACTTAACCGCAACTTACAGCCTTTAAAACCATAAGTCTTGTGCAGCGGTGACCAACGAGGGCATCCTCTGTTAAGCTTTTAACTTGTAATTATCCCACATTAGTGCTGCTGGAAGTTTCCTCCATAAATGCTGTTTAGTATAATTTAAAATGTCTGTAATGCAGCACGAGTCGCAAAATGCTAAATATTACTCATTATTGAGGTTAAATCAGAAATCTGCAATAGGTAAACTAAACTATTGTCTGTTCATATATGATATTTTTAATTAAAAGTTTTGACATTTGCTATTCATTCCTGGGAGGCAAATGTACCAGCTTAAAAAAAAAAACCCACATCTGAGTCTCAGTAAAATATTCAAAACAAGCAAACCTAATTATGCTGCAGCAGTTGCTTGTTTCATTTGGCTCATTTCCCCCACAATGAAAATGGCATAGTGTGATATAGTTAAGCTGGCAGCGAGCCACTTCAGATCCTTTTCATTGTCGCTGCCAGTATAGTTGCCGCAAACCCACCGCGAGGAATCTGCGAGACATCTGCCTACAAGATGGAGGAAATCTCCAAATCATACTCAGCATTACCTTCCTACTGTACAAGTGAATACCTTTGAATTTCCAAGCCATTAACAATCAGGAACCAGAGCTGAGCGGAGGGGGGAGTCTAACACACTCAGACACATCCTCATCCTAATTTAGCTCCTGCATTAGCGCCGCGCTTTGTCAGCACTGATGATGATGCACACGTTCCCCTCAACACCAGGACATTCAAATGTGAGCGGTGATCAAACCAGTGCAAAATAAGAATCGCACAAACTGCAGATGAAATTATATCATGAGCAGCCGACACCATGCAGATACGTCTTATCTGGTGGTTTTAGTTCAGGAGGGAAGAAGAAAAAACAAGCAGATTGATGGACAGCAAATTATTAGAGGAGAGAGATAAGACAGTAAGACAAACTTTAAACTATATTACAAAGATTGGAAAGACAAGACAAAGAAGCAGAAGAATTGTGATTCCTGACAAAGATAATGGGAAACAGAGGAGGGAGAGAGACGGAGATGAGAGTCTTGGCAGGCCGTCTGACCCCCAGTGGATCAAAATGAAAATGTCTGACTGTATATTAATACAGGTCACCCACTCATGACTTAACGGAGGATGCAGAGCATCAGCTGTGTACGTGTGCCTCATTCAGACAAGTGAAAATCCAAGCTGGCCTGAACAATCCAAAGGGGCAGTAACTGAAGGCAGGTGAGGCCAAGTTAAAGTGAGACAAATCGCTTCATCTTCATTTCCCCCCCGTCACATGTCTCCTCGGTGCAGAAGGGGATAACTACTGTGATCGTCTCCAGGCCAAGAGGAACACGACTCTTATTTTAGTTCAGCGAAGCAATTCTGAGTCATGATAATTGACCTCAAGTCACTCAAAGAAATTCTTATAGCCTCTTTGTAACGTCTCCTGCTGAAACACCATTCATTACCATAGCACAGTAGACGATTCGACACCTAACTTTTCTTTTTTTTCCAAACATTTCATCAGATTTTAATTGATTCAGCGGGTTAGCTAGCTCACCCTGACATCATATTAATGAGTGTGTGTTAGGTTAGCCCATCCCACTGTGCTGTAATCGTCCTGCCAAGATCTTGATTTGATTTTTAGATGGTGCTGAATCACAGACGATGAGCTTTTCATTCAGTGTCATTTTCAAGGCATCAGCGATGGAGGTCAGCGCTGAAGTAGTTTTGAATTTGAGAGCAGCTGTGGTGTGTAAAATCAAACAAGTGTGGGCCTGCAATGCTTTGAATAATAAAATGTGCTAGTTTGCTGTCTACCAATATGTTTGCCTTTGTTATGCAACTTCAAAACTGCTCAATCAGTAAAAAAAAATTAATTAGACAAATATAAGTTTTGTTTCATTTTAATCAGCAAATACTTCATATTAAAATATATTCTATGTGTTTTGTTTTATATCATTGTGACATGCAGCTACATGAGGTTCAAACACATCACTAGTTGACTGTTACAGATTTCCAGATTAGAAATAACTACGCAAATTTCAGGTTTTTATCTTTCATAGTTCCTGAGATATTGTTGTTCAAACAACCTCAAATTTCAATGGACAAAAAGTGTAGTGACAGTGGGTCCACTGGCAATTTAAAAACAAAATAACACCTAGAAAATTATTTGATATATCAATCTAATATTTCACAGATTTTAAATATCCGTAGGTTATGATAAGAAAGAGTTTCAAGCAAATCAGAGATGATCGAGCAGACAGTCTCTGATGATTTTAGATGGAAAAGCACAAAATGAAATGAACAAAAAGTGCCAATTAAAAATACAGCAACACAGTAAAATTGCTGCAAACTAGAAGCTTAAAGATCAGGAAATGTTCTGCACAAACCAGAATAAACAGATTCATTACATGTGTTTATTTATTTCTTGTTGCTTTGTTTTTTTTGTCTGGCTGCAGACTTGCTGCTTGTTCTGCTGCTTGTTTGATTGCTGTTGCTTGATCAGGATTGTGCGCACACTGCCACCTGCTGGTCAGTCTGAAGCAGTGGTAAAATGAAGTAAGGTTCGTAAGGCATTAAAAAAAAAGGAAAGTTTACTGCCTTTATGCTGCCATATTCTTACAATGCTGGACGATATTTATCCGTAAGTATTTCTGTTTTATGTCGGTTTAGGTAGCAGTGACTGAATTTAGCTTTGCTCCAAATACAAATCTCCGTTAATTGCTAGCTAGCATAGCTGTTAGCTATCAATTAGCTTTCACAAAAGTCGCCATTTTCGGCTGAAAAGTTGATCATTGTTTGAGCAAATCGTGCTTTTTATTGCAGTTTTACAACCGGGAATCTTCTTCAAACGTTTAAAATTGACTTCTTTCTACTAAATGCTAGATCTGTGTAGCTTAAATTTGCTAGCTTTGAACTCTTCTCGTCATGTTGACTTCCGGTTCAGTATCTCCGAGGGGCTTATCTCGCTCTCGCTCTCTCTCTCTCTTTTTTATATTTATTTTTAAATTAACAGACTAATATCTCAAGGAAAAAAAAAGGTATTTACATGATTCACGATTTTAATAGTCAGAACTAATGTGCTTTTCCTCCAGAGATGTATGCAGCGAGCAGCCAGGGTTGGTGGGTGCTTCGTTAATACCCAAACGGCAGCATTAGAAGTGACAGTGGCTAAAAATAATGTGATATGTAACACAGCAGGGAGCCCGAAGCTTCTCCTTCTATCATCTTGTCTATTTAAGATGAATTAAAGGGAAAACAGCTCAGGTAGGGAGGGAGGCTGCTGACAATTAGTGCACCTACATGCTTGAGTTTTTCTCGCAGCCCCTTTGGGAGCGCTGTGACCCTGAGGGTAATCACATCTTAAAAAGGCGCAGAAAACAGCGACACAAACAGGTTTTATATAAGGCAGGAAATGGTGTCAGGGTGTGTAAACATGATACTGAGAGGAGATGTGCGCGCTGGAGAAAGGTGATGGTCATGTTTGGATACTAATATTGGCTCTATTAACCCTGACAGGACCACTTTTGACCAAACCTGTGCTTGTTAAGCTGAACTTCTGCAGGCATTTCATCCCCACTGACCACATTTTGGGTCAAAAATGGATCCAAAGTCCAGCGAAGAACAACCTCATTCTGTGCCTGTGCAGATGCATGAAGTGTATTTACGTGTGGTGTCCCTGTAGTTCAGGTTGTACCAGTGTTCTGTCGCTGCATATCTTTGCATAAATAATCATTTGTAGTATCCTGGTTACTGAATATGTCGTGTTGTTTGCACAGGAACCTGAAATGTTCACAAAGCAGCATTTTGAAAAAGTCCATTAACCGTGATTTAGTTGAGGCTGTTTACCTGCACATGTTGGGAAATCTGCATCCTGTGACCAGATTGAGTAGGATAATATTGCTATGCTTCTCCTATATGAGTCCATCCATCATCTATACACCACTTAGTCCTCACTAGGAGTCTGGAGTCTATCCCAGCTGACTCAGGGTGAAGGCAGGGGACACCCTGGACAGGTCACACTTAGAGACAGACAACCAAGCACACTCACATTCACACCTACGGACAATTTACAATCACCAATTAACCTCAACATGTTTTTGGACTGTGTGGGAGGAAGCCGGAGAACCCGGAGAGAACCCACGCTGCACGGGGAGAACATGGAGACTCCACGCAGAAAGATCCTGGGTGTCCTCACTGGGACGTGAACCACCAACCTTCTAGCTGCGAGGCGACAGTGCTAACCACTGAGTCACCTTGCAGCCCCTATATAACTCACCAACCATATTTAATGCTGCTGAAAGACAAACTCTTCACCCACACGAACGTGACACACATTTGTCGTCGTCACTGTTTGTGTATTTGTTCAGTCATTGGTGGAGCTGCACAGTATTTGCAAAAACTTACATTGTAGGAATTAGTTTTTCTGCAAAGTATATTTTGACATGAAAGAATACAGGAATGTTCACTAGACAACTCACTTAAATCTATTTGATAAGAATGAATAATTCCAAAATAATCCGGTTTGTTTTTATTCATTTATTTATTTTTTTAGGGGATTGATTCTTCCTTGAAAATTAAAATGAACTGTTTCCCCCGATCAGTGCCACGGCAAAAACCTCTGACTTAGTTTCTTTGCTTTGGGCACTATCAGATCTGGTTTTGCTCTCACACAGAACTTTGTGGTGCTGATGCTGAATTAAAAGGTCAAACAAATTGGCTATGCTGCCTCGTGCAGCTGCAACAACACAGTACCAGTCGTTGGTCAACATCCTCCTTTCTGTAGGTGCAGTATTTTCATACAGCTGACAGTGGGTTTTCCTTTTTGCAACCATGTCTTCATTTTTGGTGTCACATGCATGTCAACAAAGTAAAAGAAAAAAATCTCAAAGTGGATTAAAGAGGACTGAAAATACAACCCTGCAAATGCTCAACAGTAGAAATAAAAGACAGATTAAAAGATGAATGATGCAAAGTTGTTATTTATTTAATGTATTTTGCCTTTATTGGAACAAAATGTCACATTAAGCGTCGCAAACAGCAGAGATTACAGCTAAAAAGTTGGAAAAATAGCATTCAAACTTATAAATAAAATAGGAACTGTTTCACTGAGAAAACAACAAAGCTGAGTTGTTTCCCTAGAAGCACTAATATTCTAACCGCTTTTAAATATCTTCCTGACGTCACCATGTTACCTGTCGTTGTAGGTGTGGCCTGCTGCAGGTGGGAGACCGCCTCCTGTCAATCAACGGGATCCCCACAGAGGACGGGACACTTGAGGAAGCCAATCAGCTCCTCCGAGACGCGGCGCTGACCAACAAAGTCACGCTAGAGATTGAATTCGATGTAGCAGGTTTGTGAATTTTACCAAAAGTTCTCTGTCTCTCATATCGGTGCAGCATAATGTTATCTCTTTACTAATTTTCTCTTATTACAGTGCTACCTTACAAAACTCTTATGTGGCAGGTTGAACCTATTGTAGCTCTTGGCAGTTTTTGTACGTTCTCATTTTGATTGTAAGCACGTACAGTGATCAGCCTCTGGTCCATCGAGGCCTTCACATGGGATCTTTGAGGGTGTCTGTGGTGTCTGCCAATGGGATATTGGCAGCAAATTCTTTGCGTCCCGTGGCTTGCACAGCGGGGCTTCTGTGGAAGAGGCTTGTTCCAGGCAGTTTGGAGGCCGGGTCAATGCCTCGGGCTCTTTATCGTGTTCATTGAGCTGCTCCTGAGCAGCTTTTGTGGCGTGGCGGGGCGCGCTGTCCTGCCGTTGCCATCGATCTGGAGTGTGGCATCCATCCCCGTGAACGCCAGGACCCAGGTTTCCCCGGCAGAGCGTCGCATTGTAACAGGATCGTCTCTGTTATTCACCTGCCTGCTATTTCTCGAGCTGTGGCCGATCAGCGCGTAAACACGTTTGCGCCGACTTAATAAACTGTTCAGATTTATTGCTTGGAGCTTTTGTGTCAGTACAGGCAAGGGCAGAACAAATAATTACAGCTCTTCACTGGAGGGCACGGCCCCATCAGCAAGCTTTTAAACCCATGAAAAGTACTCTGAGTTCAAGCAGTGTGTTATTGTCTTTAATTCTAATGTCTGTGGAGAAGAGAAGTCACATCAGATTGCATTCTAAAACAGTTTCTGAACTCAGACACAGAAATCAATCCCGGTTTTTAAAAAAAATGAAATTGCTAGAGTGTTTGTTTTGAAGGCGGCCTGCTGATATCTAACATTTAATTTATTGAATGCTTAAGACGGAGCAGTCTGCTGTTTTTAACTACTTTTAAGGTTTAAGGAATGTGGATTTTGTTGTTTTTATCAAAGGTACAGTAAGAGTTTGACTCAAAACAGACGCCTCAAACAATAGTCGAGAAATTATCTACATCGTTTTTAACACTAGGAAGAGTATGAAAAGTTTATGATGAACTGTTGTGCACATAATTTACTTGGTGCTACTGTGAGCTTTGTGGATTTACTTAATTTTTTACAACATGTTCACACACTGAGAGACTTTGATTCAAACTGTGAAACTCTCTGCAGTTACAGATCTAGTTTTTTTTTCTCCACTTGTTTAATGATTGACGTAGGCAGCAAGTAATTATGAGCTTATTCATTTTATACACGGGGAAGAAAATCATTGATTAATCCCCAAACAATAAACCTAAATGTAGGTGTCATATATTTTTTTTATTAAGGTGTAATATTTAAGAATTTATTATAATGTCTCTTTAAAAGCAAAGGAAATATGTGTCATTGTGCACATATTTTCATTGTTTTTAAAGCAACATTATAAAAAATAAATTAAAAAATTAAAAGAAAAATGAAAAAAATCATTTTAAAAATAAATTAAAAAATAAT